CGCGCTGCGCCCTGTACAGCCGGTTGCCTGTACTTGGCTCGAGACTCGATCGAGTCTCTTGATTTGTTCCGCCATATTTGAGCGACCTGTCACTTTAAACATGCCCCTGCCCACATCTACGAACAGGTCGCTGTTAGTCACAAGATGGCGCCTAATAGCGCGCTGTTAGAGGCTTAAAAGCGGTTCTGAATAGGCTTTTTCGCTAATAGCGCGCTATTAGCTGTTAGTGACCTTAAGAGTGACCATAAAAGCGTGCGCCCTGTACAGCCGGTTGCCTGTACTTGGCTCGAGACTCGATCGAGTCTCTTGATTTGTTCCGCCATATTTGAGCGACCTGTCACTTTAAACATGCCCCTGCCCACATCTACGAACAGGTCGCTGTTAGTCACAAGATGGCGCCTAATAGCGCGCTGTTAGAGACTTAAAAGCGGTTCTCAATAGGCTTTTTCGCTAATAGCACGCTATTAGCTGTTAGTGACCTTAAGAGTGACCATAAAAGCGGTTCTGAATACGATCACCTATAAACTCACTAACAAATAATTTAAAAGCGCGGTATTAACACTAAAAGCGAGTTCTGAATACGGGCTTTAGTATTAAGCTTATAGCGTTAGTTCTTAAGGTACTCTATTCAGCCAACTATTTTGTTACTTACTGTTGTTTATATTTTAATTCTCATATTTTATTTTTATATTTTTTTGTTTGGCGCCTGATTCCTATAAAAAATTTATACTTCTACTCGTACTATATTTTAACCCATGTGCACAACTCTCATGATTTTTTGCCCCTTAATTTCGACTCGGGCATAATAAAGAGATCAATCAATCTCTCTCTTTGGGATTCACCCATGTTACGCACTAATATGCGTTATAAGGTTCAAGGTTGGAGAAAGAACTTCCTCGAGCACTGCATTCGCAATGCGGAAATCAGCGAGATAATGTTCGTGATCAAACCGGCTGAGAGCTGCCGTCCGAAATCTGCAGGATCATGCACGGGATTGGGAAGGGTTCATCGAAGCTTCTGGAAGATTCTCCGGGGCGGAGGGCAAGGGGCTGTCTCAAAACTTCGGGCGGGAGGACCGCCAGCTCTGGGAGCGATCCTGTGCAACTTAGCACGTACACGAGCCGTCGAAGCTCCTGAAAGGTTCTAGAAGGTTCTTGATCGCGTGTGATTCCCAGAATCAAGCGTCAAATTCATAGAATCCAATGGAAAATTCCTGGAATCCCCCATAAATTCCTAGAAAATAGGGTTCTCGGTAACATCACTTCCGGAAATCGTAGAGCTCATGATGGCAAGTTAACACAGACACACACCTTCGAATATTCTAAAGTGTCAGTATATGTCGGTTACAGGAATCCTGGTCCAGAACTCCCCAAAATATACTACTCCTTATAATCCGGGAAGTAGGTCTTCCTCGATTGTCATTCGCCTCGGTATTAACACTTGGTATACTCCCTTGTCTCGCAAATTCCAATTCCCGCTTTAAAAAATGTATGACACTTACCGTTAATTATGCAATCTAGTGCCACAAAGGAGACCTCTTTCTCAAAGAAGTGTTGTTGTTTAATAATGTTCGTAGTTTACAAGCACGATGTGATTATCCTATTCTTATTCGAAACATACGTGCTTTATCTTATTCGTCTAGCGCGTTGCATAATTCAAATCTCTATAACTTCACCAATTTTATCAATTTTACTATAAAATTTTACAGACATATTTTTGAGGCTCTATAGTTTTCTAATATGCAAAGAAAAATATCGAGTCTTTTTATCGGTAGACCAGAGTACTCCTTTAATAGTGAATTATTTTCCATATACTTACTGGTGAAATCCACATGAATCACTCATATTTGCGTAATATTTACAGAACAATGTTCCGTGTATACTTCTAGGATAATATTTGCATTCATTATGAAATTTTTTTTCTGGCTCTAGGTAACTGAACTATCTAGGCCCTAGTTTTAAAATCATAACTTTTCCAAATAGACGTTAATTGTGGTATTCCCTCTAGGCTCAAAATTTTACTCAAGAAATTTTTCGAGCTCTAAATAATACTTAAAAAGATCTTGTACTCGAAGAGGTAAAACGTATGAACGAAATTTATTCACCTGCATATAGTGTGCCATTGAGCATGAGGTTCTAAATTGGTTGGCAGATCATTGTCAACTACGTCATGTGTGTTTTTATGTGTTCCACGTCACAAGGTAACACCGTCATCTAGAAGTTCACCGGGCACTACAGTTCTCCCTTAACAATTTGCGTGGCGAATTCAATTTGGCAATAGCAATCCTCTTTTCCCTCAATAGATTCTGTTCAGAAATGATTTGATAGGTGTCAAAACTTTCGTTATAAGAGCATGCTGAGGGTTGTTCAGTTTGAGGTAAGGAGGGTTTTGAAGAGGAGGGATCTAAATTACTGACAAAGTCGAAACAGTTACATCTTTGAAACTGTAACTCTTAATTTACGATTTTCAAATGGTGCAATATTTTTGTTCTAGAAATATCACGGTATAGAGCCAAAAATTGCAAGGAAGGATGGTCTTGTACTTGTACGAGAAATGGCAGAAGAAGTGACAAATATGATGGATTTCAAAATAGACGCCGTTAAGGTAAATATATGCATTATGATATTTTATGCAGCTGATCAAGAGACGCGGTCGAGTCACGCGCCCAGTACAGACAACCCGTCATGCAGGGCATAGCACCCCGAGACTCTTTATTTAAAGTATCTCTTGTACCTTTGTTTGGAATCAAATAATTTTTGAACGACTATATATAAGAAAAGGTTATTGCACATTCACTGTAGGAATCGAGGGTTCTGAATTTATTGCCATGAAAATCCATGAGATTGATGTACGAGAGATCAGTGAGTATTGAGATGTTGAGTCGTGATCTTCGCATGTCCATCTACTTTTTCACACGACGGATGGCACTGGCTGCTTTGTACATGAAGCTACCGTTCACACCGAGTTTCCCGTACTGAAAATAGCTAAGGCTGCTTTCACAATAGTATATAATTATTAAGCCTTTAGCTCGTACGGAAAGCGTAACAGCATTCATATGGAGCGCGTGTGTATGATGGAAATACGTTGTGACGTGATTTTTTGAATCACGGTCCCAAGGCGGCTCCGGTTACCGATACAGATAAGGTTCTCGATTTCTGGTTCTCTTCGGGTCGCCACCCTGCTCAGAAGCTACGCTCTCGGGTTGATCCGTACAGTTATGTCAAGGCTCTCGTAAGATTGTGTCAGTGTTTAGTTGAGGTCGAGGTGCTCGAATCTGCCGTGGGGATATAGTCTCGACGTACCGAGTTGCCCGGCAGAGGAGAGTACCCGACGGAGACGTCTCCACGGAATGGCAGAAGCCCGAGTGAGATACCGGCGCCCCGCTGGAGATGGGCGAAGGGCTGTAGAGCGGGCGGAGAAAGTTTTGATATGGTTAAGGGCAGGAGAGGAACCTCCTGCCCGAGTTAAGGATGTGGTGCCCAGCTGTCGCCCGATGCCCTGGGGAAGCGGCCGTGGAGGATCTCCAGTACAGTTCTCGCGTTGTTCTCGCGATATCCAGGAATTCTATGAATTCCTGTGAGTGTTACGGTGGTGTAGTGCTGTGCCTTAGTGCAGTGCTCACCAGTGTCCTTTGGACACAGTTCTCGGCCCCCATGGATTAGCTGCACCAGCTCCGGTGAGGATTCCCAATTTATTAATTGGTGAAGGGATCTCGATAGATAATTAAGATTCGTTCTGATACGTTCTCGGCTCGTCGCTCTCTGTCTCTCGCACTATTTTCCGGACTCTTAATCCGACCCTCTCTACCTCAAACTTAGCAGCCTGAGCGGCCGTGCATTTCCGTAACCGTCCGCTCCCGTTCGTGTATCCAGTTGCGTTTGCTGATTTTACGCGACCCCAAAGATCAGCACCTACGGTTGCGTTTCTCGATTTTACGCGTCCCCAAAAATCGACAGGATCCGTTAAGCTATCGCCTCCTCTGATAGGTTCCGTCAGAGCTTTCGTTCTTGGTGGAGTTGGGCCTGTTCCATCCCAACTCCCAGTTTATACCGGCTCGTCAGTTCCCGGTGAAAGAAGAATTGACTGGCGCCCGCCTGGCTTGCGGATGCACGAACGACGGGTGGACGGCCGAAGGTAACGTAGGTTGGTTTTCGAAGATAGTCGTTCCCGTATGTCTTGCTATCGGTGTCGGGTCAAGTTAAGGAAATACGTTACAACGTATGTCTGTGCTTCGACATAGTTCCTCGTATTTCAAGTGATAGTTTTTAGAGATATAGGATGTCCAGGTGTTCCTCTCCGTACTTTCCTGTATCTAGGTATTGGATGTTTAAGTTCAGGGTGTTCGGCGCCGTAGTTGCCTGTATCTAGGTGCCGGGAATGGAAGTCCAGAGTATTCACTCGTTCCACTGTGTTGTTTCTTGTATCTATAATAGGTGTCGAACGTCGAAGTCCAGGTGTTTCTTTGCGTAGTTTCCTGTATCTAGGTATCGGACGTGGAAGTCCAGGATATTCAGAAAAGAACGCAACGAGTGACACTTTGGCGTTTCACTCACACCGCAGTATCCACTATGTTGTTCGCACGGCCTGATGTACGTAAATAATCTAACACAACCTTCTCTCTTACGTTTACCACTTGTCTTCAACAAGCTGGACACCATTAATGATCCTTATATACATTCAAGATAAAATTTTCTTTTAAAATTTGCATATATCTTCACCCATTTCTAAAAATAATGGGCTTACAATTAATACTGTGTCTGTGTTCAGCTTCGTACCAACGTTTCGCAAACGTATCAGTCTGCTAATCAACTTATGATCAGATGAAGCACTGATCCGCATGAGCAATCATAGGTATATTAAGACTTCCTGAAAACAGGGAGCTTCAGTATCGGAGCATCCTAGCCCTGATGATGCAGACTGAAACGTTTGCGAAACGTCGGCACGAAGCTGAACACAGACGCGGCTTCCATCCGGAAACCATGAGTATTAATGATAATATTGGCCACGAAACCCTAAAATCTCAATGTGCTTACAAACTAAATTTATATGCCTTTAAACATTTTTAACAACGTAATATATCTCTTTGATTGGTAACAATATAGATTTGAATTCTTAGAGCTTCTATATCCCGTTGAGCAACAAAAACTTGTGATATCTCCCAAAAAGACACTTACGCGTAAAAGACCACGCCCAGTACAGGAGTGCTGTGAATTCCTCTAACAAAAAGTAATGAAACCATATTATTATAGCCACATAAATCACTTCATGTTTGCTTATTATATGATCTAACACGGCTCATCATTTTAATATTTTAATTGTATTTTTAAACTTTCCTATAACGTCTTCGCTATTCTTTTATATTATTACTGCTGCTCGTATTTAATTATGATTTAATGTTCATTTAATAATTAATAAAATGATTCCTAAATAAAGTGATTCCTTATCGAGCGATCCGGTATTAGCAATAACTCGTCAAAAATAATCACGGTAAAAGCCTAATAACAAACATATAGTTTTAGGATACTATTAGTACGTTCAAAGTAAGTATTTCGGAATTCCTCGCACGGACCCGCCAAGTAGTACTCGATGAGGAATCACCTAAATTTTATTAATTATTAAATGACAATTAAATCAATTAAATACGAGAAGCAGTAGGAATATAAAAGAGTAGCGAAATCGTTATAGGAAATTTTGAAAATATAATTAAAATGATGGGCCAGTGCTAGATTATATAATAGATACATATGTAGTATGAGGTGATTTTTTGATTCACGGTCACAAGGCGACTCCGGCTACTGATTCAGCCAACGTTCTCGCTTTCTGGTTCTCTTCGAGTTGCTATCTGCTCAAAAGCTACGTTCTCGGGTTGATTTGTATAGTTACGCCAATGCTCTTGGAAGATTTAGTTAGTGTTTAGTTGAGGTCGAGGTGCTCGAATCTGCCGTGGGGCGATAGTCTCGACGTACCCGAGGTGCCCAACAAAGGAGAGTACCCGACTCGAGTTAATGATGTGGTGTCCACCTATCGTTAGGTGCACTGGGAAGTGTCCGTGGAGGATCTCTCAGTGTTACGCACCGATTCGCTAAGGAACGCTCTGGATTTGATCGACAGGATCCGTTAAGTTATCGTATCTTCTGATAGGTTTCATGAGAGATCTTGTTTTGGCGGAGTTGGGCCTATTCTACCCCGACTCCCAGGTCATACCGACTTGTCAGTTCCCAGTGATAAAAGAATTTACTGGCGCCTGCCTGGCTTGCGGATGCATAGCCGAAGGGTGGTCGGCCGAAGGTAACGTAGATTGGTTCTCAAAGATAGTTACTCGTAGTTCTCGGATTTTTCCCTATCGGTGTCCAGTTAAGAAAATACGTTACAGTAGTGACTCATGTACTTGGCATTAATAATATGATTTTAATACTTTTTATTAGAGGAACTCAGAGCACTCCTGTCCTTGGTATAGTTTTTTACACTAAGTGTTTTTTGGGGAGATATCACAAGTTTTTGATGCTCAACGGGATACATTAAGGAGTTTAGAGCGTTTCACACTATTATAATATGCGCCTATAACTCATAGAAACGTTCATAGCGATGAATTTACACTAATATTTCCGATTGCCGAACAGGTACATTTTTATTTCAAATTTTTCTAAGAATAATCCGTGATTCTTTACCGATTTCAATGATAGATATTTGATAATATTAACCGTTTAATAATTATAGCCATTTATTTATGAAGAAATTGTTTTGCTGAATAAAAAACAGGCTGTCATTTTTAAACGGTTAGCACTATCAAATAATTAGGCGGCCAATTTGTAGAGCATCTTTTGAGAAACAGAATAAGCAGTCCCGCATTTAAAAAGGTAAAGAATGATGGATTATTCGTGGAAAAAACTCAACGAAAACATATCTTCTCGAAAATTAACGTTACTTAGTTAATATTTTTGCAAATCAATCTGGATTAATGTTTTTTTAGATTTAGGGCGCATGTAGTAATGCAAATACATAATGCATAAAATTTACAAAAACGATTACTAAAGCGTAGCAGTGATTTGACTAGCGTGAAATGCTACAACCTCCTTAAAGAAGGTCTGAGCACTCTAATCTATATTGTTACGGATATAAAATGCAAATACATTGTGTGTCGCTAATCAGAGAAATATTATTACGATCGTTGGTTCCGGAAAATTAAGCGACGTAAATGGAGTTTGTAATAAAAGGGATAATTCGTTGGTTCGGTCTACTTTATCAGCACGTCCACGTGTTAATACAAGGCCTATCGAGTTTTATGATTTGAAGTTGTGATAATCCCTCAAAATATATATTCGTGGATCAGGAAATATTCTATTTTTAAGTGATTCCTCAGTAAGTAGATCTTTTGGTAACTTTGAAAACTTTATGGGAATTAATTTCCACGGTAAGTATTGAATAGAATTGTCTTGTTCGTTAATCTGATATTTTGTCGCGTCTAGAACCTTCTGGCTTGTTGGTTTTGTTTCTCTTCGAATGTACGGTTTATCTAATTGTCTAAGTAATTTACATAATTGAACTTTCTTACCACTTGTTTTAGGCATAACTCTGTACTTACTCAGATCTCGTATTCCTAGCATATTTGAATTTCTTTCGGTATGCGATTGAAACTCAATTAGATCGTTTGGGATGAATGACCAGTCTTATCCAAGTCCTGATGATGTGTGAGACGTTGATCAAAGTTTCGATTTTATATTAATGATTTGGTAGAATAAGGTAGAGGCCCTAAATTCGGCTTCAGTTCTACCTTTTTGGAAATAGTAAGGATGGATAAAGGCCTTATATAACGGCTTCAGTTCTACCCAGGAAGGTTTCGAGTAAATTATGAATACTCTGATTATTTGTATCTTGGATAAGTTTTAGAGGTACCTCGTATATTTAATATATAAGTTTTGACTTCACTTCACAATTCTAATTACAACTTTGATTTTGACTTCAATAGTACGATTTTACACGCTCGACAACTCTGATGTTCTTCTAATCTCTTAATCCACATCCACACACACCGAATGTGACTTCTAACTCCCTTTTTATAGCAGTAAAACTACTTCTAATAGGTCAATGTGACTCCCCTTCCTTAAAATTACTAACATATCGATTGACAACTAACCTTTTTCCAATAATCAATATACCAAGTCGTACTCTGTAATTTGAATTTGCTTGAATATTATCGGAGAAGATTCAGGCTTATCCTTTTATTTATATCTTTATTGTTCGATATTAACAAAACATAATACAGTGTTTAATATCGTTAATGTGTCATATAATAATGTATTATTCCTGGATTATATGATTATATGATTAAATGATTATAAAACTATGATGTGCTTTCCCTATTAATATTTATAAGACGTGGAACGAAACGATATATTGCGTTGTCGAAATGTTTAAAGGCATATAATCTTAATTTATAAGTCCGTTTTTTTTAGAAATACATAAAAATATATACAAATTTAAAAAAATGTAATTTCGAATGAAGATAAGCGTCACTAGAGAAGGGACTGTGCTGGATTATTTACGTATCTCAGGCCGTGCGAACAACAGAAAGAATACCATGGTCTGAGTGAAACGCCGAAATGTCGCTCGTTATGTTCTTTTTTGGACACCCTGGACTTTCACGTCTGACACCTAGATATAGGAACCTATGGAGAGAGACATCTGGATATCCTGTATCTCTAAAAATTGTGACTTGAATTACGAGGAACTATGTCGAAGCACACACATAGGTACACACTGATTTCGTGCGGTCTAAAGAATTAATAATTCTATACTATTGAGAAAGCAGCTTTATATTAACTGAAAATTCGGTGCTAACGGTGCTCACGTGCAAAATGTATTTCATTGTATTGTATATTCGTATATTACCAAGACCATCCGAAGTACACATAGGTAAAGAGAGCAAAGCAGCCAGCGCCATCTGTCCTGTGAAAAGGTAGATGGACGACAATGATGACGATGGACCTGTAGTAAAATCATCTCGCTCGTCATTTCAATACGTCCTGACCTCGTACATCAATCTCATTGATTTTTATGAGAATCAGTTTAGTACCTTCGATTCCTATAGTGGATTTATCAATAACTTTTCTCGGCGGGTTGCCTCTACTTGGCGCGAGACTCGACCGTGTCTCTTGTTAGTTGACCATTGGATATATATATTGAAAAATCAAGATATTTTCCCTAAATCTTAAAAAATACTTTTTAAAATATTCCGTGAACTTATGATAGTAACATTTAATCTGTCATACAATAATTAAAACTGATACACAATATCAAAACCATATTTTCAGAGAAAAACTGAAAAACTTAGTTTTCACATATGCAAATAGTGTTAATTATCGCTTGTAACTTGTAACGCTGTGAAATAGCAGCCTTTCTCACCAACTAGCAAAGAGGGGCCAGTTATAAATATTAGCAGCGGCCGACAAGTGGACTAGTGGTCCCACACATGAAGCTCGCCTAGCGGACAAATAAACTAATACAGTTTTCTCTCTCTGATTAGCTTAGCCTAGAATTAGGATGAATACCTAGTTAAGTTTTCGGCTCGCACTTTTTGGATCAACTTAAATTTCAACATCCTCGATAGCCTCATAGACGCGCCGTGGTACCAATCCCACGACTAGTCTGAGACGGGGCCACCTCTGAGAAGGCGCTTTTATACCTAAAAGAGCAACAGGCGGGCATCAATCCCAACCTAGGTTTTTAGTCCTTCTGACGAGAGGCGCATACGGTCTATCTTCTTGTATTCAGTAACTATATCAGATTTTTATTAGTTCCTAATAAAATTTTTCGTATAATTCTTCTAAACAAGCACTATATCTTCAACACACCTGACTTTCTTGCCCGTTACGTTCAAAATACGTAACAAACTGAAGGAACATATACAAATTAGGCTGATGGCTCAATGAGCAGATTGTCACACTCGTCACTATGGGTATCCGGGCAATTGCAGTTTCGAATTTTGTTTAAAACAGCACACATAGTAAAATCAAATACCTATTTTTTTAATGCTTTAATCATACAATTTTCCCATTATTTCAATTACATTTTTCAGGTACCTATTGGATATTAAAACAATGTAAAAAATGTTCTGTCCAATTGTACGTGTCCACATGGATAGTCAGGAACTAACCTGGAAAACTGTTTATGGTCGAGCGCTAGACAGTTTTCCCAGTTAACGCTTGGATAAGAATAGAAAAACTAGGTTGTATCCGGTTACAGCTCATACACAATTTATACTACGATGCGTTTCAACAATGTTTGATTGTAGCCAATATAATATTTCTTCACCAGTTCATCTTGGATTTAACAACGTATTTTTTTCTCTATATTTATTGGATGTTACTTTTTAATGATACTATAAGGATTATTATTTCAGAGGATAATGGAGAGTGCTGAACAAGCAGCTGTATCTGGTCCCAGAGATGGCAGTAATTCGCCACGATATTACTCTTCACATCGATTAAATGCATTTACCGAAGATGATAAAATGGACCATGAAGCTCGAGAAATTATTCTATCACCCAATCGTCACTTTGACCACTTAGCGGTCAATCTCAGTTTATCAGCTGTAATGCTGCCTCCAGAAGTGAAAGATACTGGTAAGATATTTTGTTTTGTTTAATAACCAGCATTAATGCTTGACTGGCTCCTATATAGTGAGAGTATACATATGGTACCGTTCTATTTTTCCTAATTATTCGCATTCGCAATGCTCAATAATCACACACATATTTCGTTCTTAACTCAAACAATAAGCTCATGTTAATATGGTATCTGAGCTTGAAATCGACGTTTCTGTCTCGTGAGTAAAGAATAGTTTACGAATATTTCTACATTTAAAACAAATTAACCTTATTTAAAAAAAATTAATAATCGAATTAAGTGTTTGACAATTTACGTTTTATATTTTACCAACATTACCTCGACAAAAATATTTTCTCGTATTTCGAAAATTAGCACATATTTGAAATACTTAGTGCAAGAAGTTCACATGCATATAGCGCTGACCGCCATGTTTTTGCGACGATGTCAGGTTTATTTTCCTAATATAGTAAACTTTCGATTCGGTTATTTCAATTCTTGTCACGCTTCCTTCGAAGCCTACCGCTTAACGACTTCGTCATTCGTGGTAGAGGACCTGTTTTAAGAGCGTAACGGCTAGAACTAAATGTTCTTGGTGCGGACGTTACAGAGTACAAGGGTACAACAGTTCATACTGCCAGTTACGATTCTGTCGAACGCAAAAGATGTTGAGCAGTTTATAAAGGGGCGGAGCGTGCAGCGCTTCGATTGTGATCACTGCAGTCGTAACCTGTTTATAGAATCGAGATTCTACTGTATTGCACTTTTAATTAATTGAAGACGATTTAATCGTCTTTAATTAAATGATGTTTAATAGATGTTACAAAAAAGAGGTATGAGTAAGGGCGTATGTGTTCCTGCTCTTGAATTTTGGAGTTCAGATTTAAACATTATAAGAAATATAAGAATCTTGAAGACTTCAGCGAAGAACATGGAAACTCCTAAGATTATGGTGGGGAACTATTTTGGGAACGATAATAACGCACAGGATAGAAGTACGGGAAGCAGGCTGAGAAAAACCATGGACTAACATATAAGAAAAGATACCAAAAAATGTACGAGAGGGCAAAGAACACCTCAAAGAATTTCAGCGCTGAATACCTGAGCTCCAAAAATCATAGCGAGTATTGTGAATAAATTATACATCATATGCCTATAAATTTATATAGGAATTATGTACAGTTTATACAGGGTGTCCTAGAACTACTTTTACACCCGAAAGTGAGTGATGGCTGGGGGTCCCCCGAGTACCCTCCCGCAAACCGTGTGTCCAAATTCGCAATAGTTTTTAAATGGGAAGCATTTAAGATGCAATTAGAACGAAGGATTTCCGCGGATCATAGCTGCGTGGTGCGAGGTACAGTCATGTAAGGCGAAAGTTAGCTGCTCCAGACGGATCGCGCGTTCAAGAATTCTTTTACGGTCTAAGCGCTATGTATGTACTGTGACGTGCTAGGCAGATTATGTCCGCCTAGAGTCCGCGCAAATTAGTTATCGCAATAACAAAAAGGGCTGGGAACGCACAAAGAAAGGGGACACAGCGTAGAATAAATAACAAGATATAATTAATATCGCAAATGCCGGTGTACAAAAGAAACAGAAAATAACAAGAATCAGAAAATACTACACTAGCAAAAGGTGTCACTCGAAATACGCAAAACTAAACCAGACACGAAATTAATACAGTAACACGCGAGGTTCACGCATGAGCACGCGGTGTTTGAAGGGACCTGTTAACGGGCTGGGGGGA